AGAAAGGGAAGAAAAGCAGAGGCTTTTTAGGGTTTTGTGCATCCCTTTGAGGGAATTATTTTGTGAGAGGCTTGAGATTCTTATGTGAGGGTTTAGATTGAGTGATTGTAAACCCTAGTTGTATTCTCTCCCTCTAATAGTAGATCTCCCCCTCCTTGCCCCATGGACGTAGGCTATTTGCTGAACCACGTAAAATTGGTTGTCTCGTTATTTGTGTGATTTGTAATAGCTTTTAGGTTCCCTCGACATGTCAGTCCTAGAACTGATGAAAGGAAGAGCTGATATCTCACTTGGTTGATATATTTTGCTTAAGTTTCTTGTTTCTTTTGTGAAACATGAATTCCTATTGCGACCTGACTCTCTTGTTGTGCTGCCGAAGTGCTGTCGAAATTTCCGCTGCGCGCAACAAAATAAACCCGAGACTTCTATAGAATGTGAATTTATGGTGGGTCTGATTCGGATTTGAAAAATACGGGGACTGCAATCGGCCGGATCGAGGAGAAGCAAGATCCGGCAGGTGGTCTGTGCTGATTGAAGCTAGAAAGCAAGACATCCTCGGTCAGATCGGCCTTCGTCGAACAGAACTAGAGGCGGCGTGGATTTAGTCGGATTTGTCATTAATTGTTGGAGTTGCCGCTATACAGAAGCTATAGGAATTGATTGATGTGGGGACGAGGCGGCGCTAGAATAGAGAGGAGGTAGTCGGGTTCTTGATGGGTTCCGTCGCGGGGTTGAAGAAGAAGATGGGCTCTTTTTGAAAAGAAAATGTGACGAGGGGGTCTCGGAAAAAGTGATAAACAATTTATAACTTCAGGCGGAGAAGCCACGGATCTGATAGTGGGGAGGTTTAGAAAACTCTGGTCGTCCAATAGAGTGAGATCATGGACGGAGCTCAGGATGCCAACTAACTTTGATGTAATTATTCCTAATTTTGGTTTGTATTAACTCCATTACTATATTTTGTTCAGTTATAGACATTCTATATATAGAATTTAAATTAAGATTACGCATGAAAACACATCAAAACAATTGTATGTATTAAGAATTTTAAACTCAGACTATACATGAAAACAGCTTAGAAACTTTTAGTAGGCTTTTTCAAAAAGGCAAAAACTCCCTAGCTTAATATTAGCTATATTCCATCTCCTAATTAACCTCTCAACCTGCCGAAAGCATATTCAAATCATAATTTCGTCTCCGCCTATAATCCAAGACAAAAATCACCCAAACAAATAAATATTTTCAAATACTTTGTCCCTTAATTTTATCAAACGTTTGGAAGGTTTCCAATAAATAAATAAATAAATAAAGAGTTTTGTTTTGGTGCTCCTATAATATTTGTATTTGATTTTTTATTTAAAAGGGTAAGAAGGTATTTGTATCACTTTGGAAATCATCATACCCAACAGAACTCATTTCCCGCAAAACCAATCCACTCATTTCATGTGCATCCCCTTTCCTTCCCGAATCAAATCCATACAAATAATTCCTCCTCTTCTAATTTTTCACTTCTTTTTTTTTAATTTCAATCAAGCAATGATTTCGCTTCTTAGATTGATGGCTAAACAATAGTCAAGTCACACGAAGCAGTGATTTCATAGAGGAAGAACTTAGAATGAACGAAATCAAAAATAACAAAAATTCATATCAAAATCAATCAACCTTTCCAATTAATCAATGAGTAGGAAGATCCACGTACTCTCAAAAAATCAACTGATTTTGTGAAGTGAAGGAAAAAATTTAAAAGAAAAGAAAATGATTATATCTTTGATTTAAAGGCGAAGATGATTTAAAACAGAAGAAACAGATTATTAGACTATTGACATAGTGGCAAAAATAACTAGTAATTAAAGGTCAGCTAAATTAACAATGTCAGTAAGGGGCTGCTTGGTTGGTTCAAAAAACACAGAAAAAGGTTCTTAGAAAACTACACAAGGTGTTATTTTACATTTTCCTTCACATGCATGTGTTTGGTTTGCAAAAAAATAAAAAGGAAAGTGATAAAAAGTGAAGGCACTAGCTAGGATTTTTTTCCCAAAATCTTTTCGTGGGTCGTGAGGCCGATTACGAGAGAAAATTGCATCTTTTCTCTCCACGTATCCCCAAACGCGATTCTAGGGTTCGTGATTAGTTTTTTTTCTGTCGCAACTCGTTCTGGTCACACTCTCTCTCGATTAGCTAGCAGTCTTTTGTATTCCTCCTCCGCCTTCCCTCCCGCCATGCAAAGTGTTAGTTCTCTTGTTTTGATGATAATTTATAAATACCATTATTTGTGCTAATTGCTTATTGAGTTATATTGTGTAGAATACAATTTATCAAGCAAGTTAGTGCCTTCGTTGGAGGATTGGGTGGAACAAAGAGTTACAACGATGATATCCATGGAGGCGGAGGCTAGTTGGTGAAGCAAATATTTCAAGAGCACAATTCAAAAGAGAAGCTTCATCTAAATATGAGCAAATATCAAGACCAAAGAATCATATTCATATATGTGAGATATTTTCATCTTTTTCTTTCTCTCTAGTGCTTAATATAGACAAGTTTTCAGGAATTCCACAGGACTACCAGTCTCGTGGATTATGTTTCTGCACATTCCACGGGACTAGTAGTCCTGTTTACTATGCATATGCACATTTTTGTGCACACCCAGCAAATGAACAGGACTACTAGTCCCGTAGATTTTGTTCCTGCAAAATTCACGGGACTAGCAGTCCCGTGAAATCTCAGGTTTCCCTATTTTGTAGTTGATGTTAATAATCAAACAGATAATATGATGAGGGTGAGGTTGATTAGGGGCCGCTAACTTCTTCGAATATCTAGTTTTGAGTTGGGTAGCTTCAGCCTGCACAAATAGCAATTCATGAGAGGACAGGGACTTGTTCCCCTGTTGTTCCTTTGACGATCAAGTCAGTGGATGGACTTGAGTGGGAAAGTAATGAACTATGTGAGTTCTAAAGTGCAATGTAGTGGAATTCTGAGAGATTGCTTACTTACCCTGGTATTTGGAATAATACCTCTTTTTATAGTGGTGGGAAAATGGTAGAACAGTAATCTCGACCGAGTACAGGATGGCGACAAACAAGTATGTGGTGGCGGCTGCGTCAGTACCTACTTTACATGTGTCGGCCGACGAGTAGAAAAGAGGTCACCTCAGCATTTAAGGTGAAGTGATCGGAGGCATGATGGTGCCGACGTGGTCCGATGAGTCATGAAGACTATCGGGGCTAGGGGAATAATGACGCATACCAATCATTTAATTTGATACTAACGCGTTGTCAGTGGGGAAGACTCGAGGTTAAAGTCATCCTTTGGCTTGGCCGAGAAGTAACGCCTTTCGAGTCGACCTCACATGGTGTCGAATAATTGGTTGAGTGAGCTTGTAGCGAGTCGTCTTTGACAAGAGGATCGACAAGTATCGCCTCTCGAGTCGTTCTAAGGAGTTGTCAACTCGACGAGTCAGCTAACTCGGGATTCTTCGTGGTCCTGACCGTCAATCTGATTTGAGCGGTGCATGTAGAGGGACACATATCTGTTTCTGGTAAATGATCATACTTTGGCGACTAGAACACCATAACAGTAGTGGTAATTTTCATAAAAGTCAATCAACCTCACAATTATTGATATTAGTCAGTCGATTAATAATTATTTACTGTTAGTTCCTCAAATCCTTTAAAATTTTTAAATTTACTTCATCAAACTTAATATTAGTTTATCAAATCTTTAGAGGTTTGGAATTACCCCCTTAAATGTTCATAATTACTTGAAATTAGTAAGTAAAATCTCAATACACGTTGCAAATTACCCCCTTAAATATTTAATCATTTTCAATTTCCTATCTCAAATGTTCATATTTTGAATTAGCCTCACAAATGGGTTCATAAAAACTTAAAATTAGTCTCTTGAATAGTTGAAGATTTGGAATTACTCCCTTAAATATTCACAAATAGTCCCTCAAATCTTTATAATTTTTCAAAATTACTACCTTATATTTAAAATTATACCCTCAATTCGTTAAATATTTTCTTGAATAGTTAAAGATTTAGAACTACTCCCTTAAATCTTCATAAATAGTCCCTCAAATCTTTATAAAATTTCCAAATTACTACATTATATTTAAAATTATACCCTCAATTCGTTAAATGTTTTCTCGAATAGTTAAATATTTGGAATTACTCCCTTAAATCTTCATAAATAGTCCATCAAATCTTCATAAATTTTGCAAATTACTACATTGTATTTAAAATAATACCCTCAATTCGTTAAATGTTTTAAAATTCCTCCCTCAAATGATCATATTTTGAAATTAGTTTTGTCTTATTTGTGTGGTAAGCACACCATGGTGACCGCAACCATGGTTTCTTCTATTTTTTTAGTTTGGAGCAAACATTAGAAAATCAGGGAATCAAGTCACACATCAACCAATTTCTTGTCTTTTTAATTTGAAACAAGCTAAAGAAAGTGATGGAAAATAATTATGCCCTCATGTTTTTTGACGAAACAAATACGAGAAACACTCTTCTAAGAATGTCAGGGAAATACCAAATAGTGAAGGAAAGTGGGTATTAAAAAATGAAGGAAAGTTACCAAACAGCCCCTAAGAGGAATTAAAGAGGAAAGGGGGTGCTATTCTTATTGGCCATGAATTTTTTTAGGCGTAAATGTTAGGCATCAGTTTTCAAGATATTTACAAAAGTGACATTAGAAAGAGGAACATTTTCCAGTTAGACATTAGATAGATTGCGAGAGCGAAATGATCGGAATTATTTACAATTGATGCCATCGGTGCTCCGCAAATTTGTTTTCGGAGCACCGAAGCTGTCGCCATAAATAAGATTAATATAGCTAATTAATATTCCCGCTCCTAACGTTTCTACCTCCAACCAAGAAACAAGAATACCGTTGGCAAGCAAAAAAAACTCCCGCCACCTCCTCCTCCTCCACTCTCTCCCCTCCACCAACTCTCAACCCAAACCCCACGAATCAAGCTTCACCATTAACCCTTTCCCCCTACCCTCCTCTATATGAGCACCCTCTTCCCCTTCGTCAAGAACTCCAAACATCCTCAGCCTTGGGCTCTCCAGGGTGAACCACATCACCTCGCCCATCATGGAGGCCTTTGGCCGATTATCCCTCCTCATCTTCTTATGTTCCTCGCTCTCCCTCGCTTCTCTCTCCTCCGCCCTCTCGGACGCCGACGGCCGCCTTCATCGGCCGCGCGCCAGATGCACGAGGAGGGCTCCGGAGACCTCCCCGACGACTACGAGTTCGAGTGAGATCGACGTCAAAATCAAGAACCCCAACCTTCAAGCGCGCTACCTCGCCTCCAGGCCTGGAGTCCGCCATGTCTCCGACCCCTCCACTTCACGCCAATTGGGTCGGCCCCGAGGTCTGCACCTACAAGGGCGTCTACTGCGCCGATTCCCTCTTCGACAACTCCACCCATGTCGTCGCTGGCGTCGACTTAAACGGAGCTGACATCGCGGGCTACCTCCCCAAAGAGCTCGGCCTCTTAACCGACGCCGCAGTTTTCCACATCAATTCTAACAGATTCTGCGGTATCATACCCAAGTCCATGTCGAAGCTCGTGCTCCTCCACGAGTTCGACGTGAGCAACAACCGCTTCGTCGGGACGTTCCCTAAAGTGGTTCTTTTCATGCCGGCGTTGAAGTACTTGGATCTCCGGTTCAACGACTTCGAGGGGCCGTTGCCTGCCGAGCTGTTCGATAAAGATTTGGACGCGCTGTTCTTAAACGACAACCGGTTCGACTCCCCGTTGCCGGAGAATTTCGGCAACTCGTCGGTGTCGGTCATGGTCCTCGCCAACAACAAGCTGGGCGGGTGCATCCCGAGCAGCATTGGGAGGATGGGGGCGACCCTCAACGAGATTGTGATGATGAACAATGGGCTTGTGGGCTGCTTGCCTTCTGAAATTGGGCAGCTGGCAAATGTGACGGTGTTCGATGTGGGATATAATTCCTTAACTGGGGTTTTGCCTAAGACATTTGATGGGCTCAGCAGTGTGGAGAATTTTGATTGCGCCAGCAATAGCTTGACTGGGGCTGTGCCTGAGTCATTGTGCAAGTTGCCTAGCCTTAAGAATTTGACAATTTCCTACAACTTTTTCAATGTTCAGGCCAAGGAGTGCTTGCCTAACGCCAGGAGCGGAGTGAGTTTCGATGATACCAGCAATTGTTTGCCCGATCGGCCAGGGCAGAAGTCAGGGAAGATTGTGTCCGGTGCTTGTGAACACGACCGGTCGATTGGGGAGTGGAAGTGCGGCAGCGGAGCGGGCTCGAGCCAGCCAGACGCCGTACCGGTTCCGGGTGATCCGAGTCCGAAACCAACCAGTTCAGAGGGAAACCGCGCTGTACTCAAGCCCAATGCCGCTCCAACGTGACCGAGGCCGACGTCGCGCGCCATTCCGATCCGCGGCACCCCGAGGCCAAAACGCAGCATTAGCCGAGCGCATTCACCACGGCGCAAGCGGCCCAGGCATGAGGCATTAAGCATCGTAAGCCGGCTCATAAGTCTCACGAGTCCTCACCGAAGCAGAATAAGTCTTCCAAGCCGCCCAAGCTCGCACCGGCTGACATCAAGTCCAAAACCAAGTTCCAGCACGATTGTTCCGTCGCCACCCACCTGACAAAGTGTCCCCTGTGACAGCGCCGTACTTCTAGTCCGCCAACCGCGCCATGCAGACAACGGATCACCCCGCCCGACACAACCTCCACCACTTCCGGCACCGGTGACCGCGTCTCCGCCACGACGATCCAGCGTGCCCCGACGCTCTGCACGCACCCCACCACCCTCCCAACGGCGACCCCCAACCGCGCCGCCAGTTTTCACGCCGGGGACTCCCAAGCCCCAAAACCACTGAACACCACGCGAGCCATCATCATCGTCACGCACCAAGCGGCCCAGGACATGAGCATAAACATCATCATAAGCCGTCCCACAAGTCTCACGAGTCATCACCCAAGCAGCATAAGTCATCGAGCCCCGCGCCTGCTCCTGCTCCGGTGACATCCAGCCCGAAACCAAGTCCAGCACCGCCTGTTTTCTCACCTCCGCCTGTGCCTCAAGCAGAAGTGTCGCCTGTCACGGCAGTACATTCACCGCCACCAGCTACCGTTCCTCCACCAACACCAAGAACAGAGGGACACCAAGAACCACCAACGCCGGCTCCAGTGACTGCGTCTCCGCCACCGACGGAAAATTTGATGCCAACCGCCCCTGTACTCCCGCCATCGTCACCACAACACAAGGAATCCCCTGAAGAGTTCATCCGGCTGCCACCGCCTCCCTCTATGCAGTCGCCTCTCCCATCAGTTTCAGCACCAGTATCTGCACCCGTACCATCACCAGTATCTGTTCCAGTGACAGCTCCGGTATCTGCACCAGTACATGCACCAGTATCATCAACTCCATCGGCATCAGTATCAGCACCGGTGCCTTCACCATCCTACGCACCAAAAGCAGCACCAGTAAGACCACCTGTGTCAGTACCCGTACGTGCACCAGTGGCTTCACCAGTGTCAGCACCAGGACATTCACCGGTGTCAGCACCGGTAGCTGCACCAGTGTCAGCACCTGTACCTGCACCAGTGCGTGCACCAGTGTCAGCACCGGTACATTCACCGATGTCAGCACCAGTACGTGCACCAGTATCATCAACTCCATCGGCACCAGTGTCAGCACCGGTGCCTTCACCATCCTACGCACCGAAAGCAGCACCAGTAAGATCACCAGTGTCTGCACCAGTGGCTTCACCAGTGTCAGCACCAGGACATTCACCGGTGTCAGCACCGGTAGCTGCACCAGTGTCAGCACCTGTACCTGCACCAGTGCGTGCACCAGTGTCAGCACCGGTACATTCACCGATGTCAGCACCAGTACGTGCACCAGTATCATCAACTCCATCGGCACCAGTGTCAGCACCGGTGCCTTCACCATCCTACGCACCGAAAGCAGCACCAGTAAGATCACCAGTGTCTGCACCAGTGGCTTCACCAGTGTCAGCACCAGGACATTCACCGGTGTCAGCACCGGTAGCTGCACCAGTGTCAGCACCTGTAGCTGCACCAGTGCGTGCACCAGTGTCAGCACCGGTACATTCACCGATGTCAGCACCAGTACGTGCACCAGTATCATCAACTCCATCGGCACCAGTGTCAGCACCGGTGCCTTCACCATCCTACGCACCGAAAGCAGCACCAGTAAGATCACCAGTGTCAGCACCAGTACGTGCACCAGTGGCTTCACCAGTGTCCAACGTCAGCACCGGTACATTCACCGGTGTCAGCACCGGTAACTGCACCAGTACGTGCACCAACGTCAGCACCGGTACATTCACCGGTGTCAGCACCGGTAACTGCACCAGTACGTGCACCAACGTCAGCACCGGTACATTCACCGGTGTCAGCACCGGTAACTGCACCAGTACGTGCACCAACGTCAGCACCGGTACATTCACCGGTGTCAGCACCAGTGTCATCACCGGTGACCGCACCAGTGTCAACTCCAGTGTCTGCACCGGTAACCTCACCAACATCAACACCAGTACGATCGCCATCGTCAGCACCAGCACCCTCACCGACAACGCCATCTAAGGCTTCCCGTTTTGAACAATCACGATCTCCTCACCTCCAGTAACCTCTTTCCTTCGGCGATACCATCACCACCTCTCCGTCGTTCAGCTCTCCCGCGCCAATGGTTAACTCGCGCCTCCACCAGCTCTCCTCACTCCATCACAAACTGCTTACCACCACACCACCCGATGGCCTCACTCCACATCGGTATTCCTCAGACCCACCGCCAGTCATTTCATCTCACCACCAGTAAAGATCACCATCCCCCACGGCGAGCTCGCCACCGCCACTAAATTTTGATGATGTCGAGCTCCCACCGATGGACAACATCGGGGCTAGCTACGCGTCGCCACCGCCGCCTTTGTACAAGGGATACTAAGGAAATTCAACACTGGTTCAATTCATGATTGAAAATGAAGAGGAGGGGCACAAAGGGGGGCAATGCGTAAAATTCAGAGATTGTGCAAAAAGAAGAACAAAGATTGTAATATCATAAGGTTTTTCTTTTAATATTTGTTGTCTATTTCGTTATTTTAATTAGCTTAAGCCTGAGCGGAAATGAATTATAAGCTTGCAGTGAGCCGTCCCCCGGTAAAACTTAGGCTCAAATGTATGCATAAGAACTGAAATTGAGAGAGCATGTGATGTTGTTGTGAGTTTAATATAGACTTGATACGAAAATAAAAGATAATTGTTTATATTGTCATAAATTTGTGTAAATCTTCTGATGGAAAATAATAGTCAAAATTTAATGAGTTTGATCAATACAAAAACCTGTGAATTATTTGTCCAAATTAGGACATTCATTTGGAAGAAGAATTTGCAAAGTTAACAAGGAGTGCATCTGTGAGGATTGTGAGATAGATACCACAAATTCAATCATATTTCAATCTACTCAATTTAGAAAAAGTTTTATAAGGTTCAGAGTCGATTATTTTCAAGGACGAATATATGTCACCTAGTTTTCATGAATTGCTAAGGCTTTGTATAAAATTATTTAAATTAATTTTATTAGAGGAAAATATCATAAACTTTCAAAATAATAAAAACAAATATTATAGGAAAACTATTTGATAATTTTATGTTAATTCCTAAAACCCATGCAGCTATGTGCACGTAAAGTTCAAGGTGGTTTAGTAACGTACGTTAGCTGACATTCATGGTAGTTCTATAAAATATATAACAAAATTCATAATATTTAACTAATGAGTAATTTTCTGATATTATATTCCATTTTTCTAATGATTTGAAAATTTGTGGTATTGTCCTCTAATAAAAAATTATGATAATTTCAAGGGAAATTTGCTTCTAACCCCCAAAATAATGAGCCTCCCCCTTTTTCAACACTCGCAAAGCCCCCAAAAGCAATTTTGAAATTCCTTTAGCCTCTTCATGTGTACTTTCAAACATAAGTAGACCAAAATACCCTCAAGCAACCGGTTCATTCTCTCAAGCTGGTCATCGGAGAAAGAGCAGGAATACTATAGGCATTAATGGTGATTAGAAAGTGGTTTTTTTTTTGGTCAATGAAAAATTTGTATTCATTTACCAAGTGAGAATTTATATACATCAGACAAAGTCAGTTAGACTGAAACTCAAAAAGAAAAATGCAATGTGCGCATTTATAAAACATGCACACATATACATGCACCTGAATTATAATATTCTGATTCTATCTTTTATATGAGCTGGGTAATCTTCATTCATGATCTTTGCAAGGATTGAGAACTTGATTGCACTGAACAAATCTTCAACCTGTTTATATTTTCTTTGAAAAATCCTCAGGTTCCTTTCTTGCCAGATAAAATACACTGAAGCAGCAAATATCATCCGCTTCAAGTTTTCCCAGAAACTCCTTCTCTTAAGCTTAGAGCTATACCAGTCGATAATAATGTCCCAATCACATGACCTCCATCTGAAGTTCAACCATTCCATTGCCAAATTCCAAACAGCAGCTGAGAATTGGCATCCAAAAAATAGGTGACGTCCAGTTTCCTGATGACCTGAACACAGCACGCATTGGTTTGTGTTGAGGATCTTCATCCGACATAATCTATCTTGGGTTAATAATCTTGAATGAGCAGCTAGCCATAAGATGAATGAATGTTTTGGATAGTGAATAGCATTCCAAACAGTACTGGCCCATTTAACTTGATGAGCAGATTGAGTAAGAAACCTGTAAACAGATGATACTTTTAATTTTCCACCAGCACAGATTTTACCAGTTATATTTAGCAAATTATTGATATCCCCAAATCTTGTAATCAGCACATTCCTAGCTTTTAAAAGCTGTCTCCACATCCAAGAGGCATTTTGCTTGATTTCAATCTGCCAGATATTGTTTGACTGTAAGTAGTTCTCATGAACCCATTTAATCCATAAGAGGTCCTTCTTAAGATGGATCATCCACAGCAATCTAAGAGCAGCTGCATAATTCCAAGTTCTAGCTGAGAACACACCCAATCCTCCAAACTTTTCCTCTTGACAAATCTTTGTCCAGGAGACCAAAGGAATTTTATGATTCCAGAGGAAGTCTGAACACATCTTATCAATTTTGCTAAGGATTTTACAAGGTAAGATGTAATTATTTGTCCAGTAGATGTGAATACCCAAAATGACAGATTTTATCAGTTGAAGCCTTCCAGCATATGATAAAGTCCTCTTCTTTTGCCAGTTTTGAAATTGCTCAGAGATTTTCTTGATTAGGGGAGAACAGTCCATCCAAGATAACCTTTTTGTTATGAGAGGCATACCCAGATACCTTACAGGCAATACACCTTCAGAAAAGTTTAGGTATGAGCAGATTTGATGCTTCAAACTTTCACCAATACCACTCATGTATATAGAGCATTTATTGGGATTAGATTCCAGTCCTGATACTCTACTGAAATGTTGCAAACATTGGTAAAGCCTAATAATAGAATTCATATCAGCTTTCCCAAAAAGAAGAAGATCATCTGCAAAGAATAGGTGTGTAATGTTCAATCTTGAGCATTTAGGATGAAATTTGAACTGGTTGTCATTTTTGAGTGTATTAAGTTTCCTTGACAGATATTCCATGCCCAGCACAAAAAGATATGGGGAGAGGGGATCCCCTTGTCTTAAACCTCTAGCCCCGTAGAAATAGCCATGGAGAGATCCATTGAGAGACAGAGAAAATTTTGAGGTAGTGATGCATTCCATGATCCAGTTTATCATAGTAGATGGAAATCCCAGACCTGACAGCATTGCCTCAATAAAGCTCCAATTAATGGTATCAAAGGCTTTTCTCAAGTCTATGTTGAGGATGGCTCTAGGTGAAGACTGTTTTCTCCCATAATGCTTTATAAGCTCATGTGCAAGCAAGATATTATTTGAGATAATTCTACCTTTCACAAAAGCACTTTGAGCATCACTAATTAAAAAACCCATTACTTTCTGAATTCTGCAGGCAATGATTTTGGCAATAATCTTATAGACACAATTGCAACAAGAGATTGGTCTGAAATCAGATGGAGATTTGGGATTGAGTACCTTAGGAATCAATGTGATTGAGGTAGAATTAAGAGTCCCTAGGAGTTTGCAAGAATAGAAAATTTCCTCAACTGCCAGATAGAGGTCCTCTTTGATAATATCCCAAGCCGCTTTGTAGAAAGATGCATTGAAACCATCTGGTCCAGGGGCTCTGTCATCAGCCATAGAGAAAATAGCATTTTTAATCTCATCTCTTGTAACAGGAAGACCCAGCTCATTACTTTGAATTGAAGAAAGGATCGGGCCATTTGCTATTACTTCAGGATCTGGCATAGCAACAGGAGTTGAAGTCCCCAGAAGTTTTTGATAATATTCAGTGAATTCCTTGATGATATCAGACATATCAGTGATCCTTACTCCATTATCAGTATAGAGAGATAACACTCTATTATGGTGTCTTTTAGCTTTCATAATGGAGTGAAAAAATTGTGTGCATTTGTCACCATATATCCCCCATCTAATATTTGCTTTTTGCCTGTAAAAAGAAGTTTCACAATTGAGCAATATTACATATTTTTCCAGACATTCTTTCTCTTTTGAAATCAGCAGGGGGTTAAGAAGATCATTGCTCATATGCTCCTGAACCTTAGCAAGATCATTTCTAGCTCTTAATACTTGCTCACTAATATTCATGAAATGCCTTTTATTCAACTCCTTTAAAACTGGCTTAAGATTCTTGAGTTTGGAATGGAATATATACATCTTATATCCTGTAACGGCCTGGTCCTAACCTGAACTGACTGTTGAGAGGAAATCAGGATGACTAATCCACATCTTGAAAAACTTGAAAGGCCTTTTACCTCCAATATGATCATCTTCAATTGTGATTAAACCAGGTGAGTGATCAGAGCAGTTAGGAGTCAAGAACTCAACTTGGCTTGAGTTATACTTTTGAATCCAGTCTTCATTAACTAGAACTCTGTCAAGTCTACACCATATTCTTGTGTCAATATCCTGTTTATTGCACCAAGTGAAAAAACATCCAGTAGTCTTGAGATGCATAAGTTGACAGGAAGAGATGAAATTCTGGAAATCCTCAGTATCTGTATCAGTAACTAAAGATCCACCAATTTTCTCATTGTTATCAATAATAGTATTGAAATCTCCTCCAATGATCCAAGGACAGGAAACATTTTGTTTAAATGCCAAAATGTCATGCCAAAGAGATTTCCTTCCAGAATTGTCATTGAGAGCATACACCACAGTGAATATACATGATAATCTATAGTCTTTTGACTCAACAGCACATGTCATAAATTGATTTGAAGATCTTAGCAGCTGTACTGAAAGAATGTCACTGTTCCAGAGTATCCATATCCTGGCATTATTAGCTTGATGACAATTTGAGAGCCAGTTCTAGTCTTTGGCTACTTTATTAGCGATTGATTGAATTTTTCCACTAGCTACCTTAGTTTCTAAAAGGGCTACAAGAGGAAGCTTATATTGGAAGATTAAATGCTTCACCATCATGTGCTTAGAGGATTTGTTAAATCCTCTAACATTCCAAATAGCTAATTGCATTAAAAATTTAGTCCCCCCCTGTCTGGGGTAAAATCATGTATTTGTTGCTCCAAGGGAGAAAAAAGTGATACCTGAGATAAACCCTGATTATTGACTTTCCCACTATTTCTTTTTGCAGATTTCTCCTTTGTAACACTGGTAAAACCAGTAGTATTAACAGCAGGAGAAGAGAAGTGCTGGACAGTGGGTGAACTGATAATTCTGGAGATTTGTATACCAGAGCCAGAATTTCCAACAGATTTCTTCTGTGCACGTGCACCAGAAGAAGATTCAGCAATAGCTTGATTTCCATGATTCATTCCAAATCCCCCAGTGTCAACAGTAATATTCTGCTCATGTGAATCAAAATTTACTCCAGAAATTTCATCTTCAATTATTTCAATATTAGGAACTGTTTTAGCAACTCCATCAGCAGTATTTGGCACTGGAGCTTTCTCTATATTTTTTTCTCTATGAACAGGCATCCATCTCATTTTCCCATTTTTCCTTCTACAATGCTCAGTAAGGTGACCAATAATTTTACAGGTATCACACCACTTTGGTTTAAACTCATAAATCACCTTTTGTGTGTAGCTCTTTCCATCAGGCCCTTGAATAACAAGCTGATCAGGGAGGGGAGATTTAAGAGGCAATTTCACTTCTAATAACACTCTAGCATAAGATAATCTTTTCCTTGTTGCAGTGAGCTTGTCTGTGGTTATAGGATTGCCTATGAGACTAGCGATTTTACTAATCCCAGTAGGACTCCAAAGATTCAGCCGCAGGTTTGGAAATTGCACCCACATAGGATAATTATAGTCTTGAACCTTTTCCATATCAGTGTCAATATTCCATGGTTTAAGAACCAGAGGCCTTGAACCAAAGAACCAAGGTCCCCCCTCCAATATATCACACATTTGCTTTTTCAGTTTGGAAATCAAACAGAAACACACCTTGTTTTATTAGATGAATTTCAGGAATAGAGATTTTCCCCCACAACTTATTAACATAAGTTTCCATAGATTTAAACCTGACATTGAGACCAATAACATGGCCAATTAAAGCATACCTCCAGTATTCTTCTCCTTCTTTCCAATCTTCTAATGAAAATATAGCAGTGTTTTCTTGGTTTGAAGGGACATAGTTCAGATTTAAACCCTGACCAAACTTCCTGTTATCAGTAAACAGACTTGCAAAAGATTTCGTAGCATCAACCTGATTTTTAACAGTATCTTCTGAATTAACAGCTTCATCATTTATCTCAGGTACAACAGAATCCTTAACAAGAATTTCATTCAGATCTGTATTCTCAGTAGATCCAGAGTGATTAACTGGAGAACTTCGTTTATCAACATCAAAAACATTTAATTCATTCTGAGTAAGGACATCCGTTGTTTCCTCATCTAAATCTAGATTTGTATTTTCATAAGAAGAATTTTCAACCTCATCCGCCCAAAAACTTGGTGATTTCACTAGTTTTTTTGATAAGATAGATCTCACCTGGAGAGGATCTGAGATCGATCGGGACTTAGCAAGAATCTCATCCATGCTCATCTTCTTCTTCGCACCTTTAGGCCCCGTGCTTTCCATTATCATTGAAGAAAAAGATTCCTCTCGTTCATCCCCTGATACTGTTCCATTGGATTCATCTCCCAGATTTGACGAAGAGGGGAAAGCAAACATAGAATCCCTCAACTCATTGCTGAGCACTCCCTTGCCGCTACTCTTCTTCTTCTTCCTCATTCAAAACCAGGCGGGGTGCACATTAGCAAGTAGATCGCCCGCTAAAGTGCACCGTTCAGACCCGCTAAAGTGGTTTTGAAAGGAAAAACCTTATTTCCCTTCAAATTCTAATCATCTCCTCCCCCCCAATAAATCCTCTTTGCTTAACCCAACTACTCTCTGCCGACCATTTAATTCTCCTCCATAAATCTTCTTTGATTCTTCAACTACTTTTCTTCAAAATGACGGATGGATCCCTCCTTTGCATGGTTACAAACACAAAATGCAACGAAGAGAATGAGGATGTTTTCCATAGTTATCAATGAGTCTATAGAAATCATTAGCTTAAAATATCAAATGTCCCAAAGGTTTAAACTAGAGTTGCAATTTCTTTCATTGAAATTCACATCCGAAAGGAAAAAGTAGTTCAATTTTACAATTGATAATGATGACGACTTGAGGTTGATGTTTGAGTATTATCATCGTAATGGATTTACAGACATAATCTTATGTTGATGGTTTAAATCACAATTTGTGGGGAAAATTTGTAATAAGAAAATGATAAAAGAATCATATTTGATTTTATTCTCTCTAACTACTTAGAAAAATAATATTTATAACTCTCTCAAACTTAATTACAATTCGAATTTCCTGATTACAAAAGAGAAAAGAATCGACGGAGATCCTCGCCTTTGTTTAATTTTGGGTTCTTCACGGTAACGATGAGATGCCTCCCTCGAATACTCGCGTCGAGTTTGCTTCTCGTTGATGATCCGAACATCTTGTTTCACTGGAACATGGTTGATTCCTCTTGATTAACGTTGAGGAGAACTTGTGTGGCAAGTTTGAAATTCTTGACGAGCTGATAACTCAGAGCGAGCTTAAACTCTTAAAAAAGAGTTGATTTGAACCGAAATTCGGTTGATAAGCTAAGGATGTAAGCTCCAAGAACTCTCGATCTGTTGCCAAGGATGCTCCAAGATGATCTGCTCAAGAGATTGCCAATCTCTCCTTTTGTGATCTTTTTGATGCAAAAAGTCGATCCCTGAATTCAATTGAGTTTTTGGTATTTATAGAAGATTAATGGATATAACTGCCCCTTAATTTGCTCCTTAATGGGAGCTTAATTATCTCATTAATCAGGTGTAACAGCCCCTTAAACCGCTCCCCAAATCATAGGGAAAATGATTTTGAAACCGTTCAATTCGTGCTTTGGACGAGTCAAACACTGAAAATAGCATTCTGGGTCCGAACTATGCGTTTTAGACTTGAACCGCAGAGTTGGACCTGTTTTAGGCTGAAAACTCCGTGTTCGCATAGCGTTGTAAATCTAAAACACAGAGTTGGGATGCAGAGATGAACTCTGCGTTTTTTAGCCCACGAACTCTGCGTTTACAACTGGAACGCTGGGGATAACCTCTGCGTTTTGAACTTGAACATTGGGGATGAACCCTACGTTTTGAACTTAAACACTAGGGATGACCTCTACGTTTTGACTCTGGAACACGGGCATGGCCTCTACGTTTTGATTTGAAGAGATCGTTAATTTGTAGTCTCTTTTGCTAGAGCGTTGCAAAGACCGTCACCTTATAACCTTCGTCTTGGCTCCTTGAAAATATGAGAGTCGTCAGATTGTAACTCCCGATATTAATTGTAAGGGTTGTTGATTAGAGCTTTCATCAGTTATTGTAAAGATCATCAGATTGTAACCTTCATCGATCTACGTAAAAGTCTTTAAATTGTAGCCTTCTGAAAACCGTCAAATTGTAACTTTCATCATCGGTATTCGATGGGGGTCAGCTACCTGTAGTAATTTTTAGACAACTTACAATCACACAGTTAAAAGAGAAGGTGGACATGGATTGGGTTGATATGGGGGCTACTCGCTTTTCTGAATATCTCATTTGGAGTTGGATTGTTCGTCCATGCACGTGCAACAACTCATAAGAGGACAAGGACTGGTTCTTACGTTGTTCCTTTGACGATCAAGCCAGCTAGGTGCTTAAGTGGGAATATGAGAAAAATACAGTAAAATGGAGAAAAATGCTGAGAAATTACTTACCCTTATATTTAGAATAGTTTTACTTTTTATAGCCAAGTAAGAGGGGTAGTCTAGTCTTTTGACCGAGTCTGAGCTGGCGGCGGAGTCATCATCTACGTACTTTACAGGTGTCAATCATGGATCGACTGCGTGATGGGCATTATTATTTCATTATTAATAAGATGCGATGCGCGGTGCACGAAGCCGGCATGGTCCAATGTGTCATAAATAGTGTCGATTATGGAGAAATGATGGCGACTGTCAAGCATTTAATGTGACACCGACGCGCTGTCAGCAGGGGGAGGGGGTTGAGGTTGAAGCCATCTTTTGGCTTGTTGCGAGAGATGTCGAGAAGTAACGCCTTTTAAGTCGACCCCGTAAGGTGCCGAATAACTGGTCGAGTGAGCTTGTAGTAAGTCGTATTTGATAAGTGGACCGACAAGTACCGCCCTTTGAGTCGACCTAATGAGGTGTCGACTCGCCGAGTCGGCTAATTCGGGATCTTGGCGGTCTTGATCGTCAATTTAATTTGAGCGGTGCATGTCGGGGACACCTATTTGTTGTTGGCAAAAGGCCACATTTTAGCAACCGAAATCACTATCACAACTTATATGCTACCTCCGCTTAGAATCCTTAACTTCTCAGAACACCCAAACTTCGCCAGAAAATGCATAAGCATTCCAATTTTAATTTTCTTATGAGTTCATTGTTAGGTTATAAGCTAATTGTTAACCTTATGCATTAGTTGCGGTGATTTTAAGTTGGTTATTAAGGTTATGAGTTGGTTGTCAACCTTTATGAGAAGTTATGAGTTGCTTGCTAAGGTTATGAATTGGTTGTTAAGTTTATGAGTTGGTTGTTAAGATTATGAGTTGGCTGTTTAGGTTATTAGTTGGTTGTTAAGGTTATGAGTCAGTTGTTAAGGTTATGATTGGTTGTTAACCTTAGTAGATATTTATGAATTTTTATTGGCTTTATGAGTTGTCTATTAAGGCTATGGTTGGTTGTTACTTATTAAAGTTTTTTCTCACTTTTACAGGACTATCTCGACAGAAAATTCATAATACGCAGGTGCTACGCTCATCCAACCATGTAATGATGAGTATATTCCTAATAACAATCGTACTAGTGACTCGATCATAATGATAAAAGACATGGTTACCAACCAAACCAAGATCTCAGCTGAGTGGCACACATCCATACGTAAAATTGGTCAGAAATTTGATAGCGCTACTGAAGTTAGATTAGCACTTCAATACTACTCAATTGCAAAAAGATTTGAGTATGATTTTTACATAATAAACAGAGACGTATAAGAGTCCATTGCCAATTCAAGGATACGCTAGGATTACCCTTAGATGTTGTTTGCTTCCCACTCCGAAATTTCTCAATTGTGTCTATAAAGAATTTCTACTCTACCTACACTTGCAGTCAACATGGAGCTAATGTTGGCAACTCAAGGGCATCACAAACCTTTATTGCAAGCCAAATATAATCCATTTTGAAGGTTAGTTCAAATCTTTAGCCAATTTGATATCAAGAATGACTTGTTCTCACATTACGGCATCAAGATTAACTATAGTAAAGTGTGGTAAAGTAAAGAGAGAGCGTAACAAGACCTATTCGGTGATGATGATGAGGCTAACAATTCACTAAGATGATAAAACTTATCTTATTAAATAAGTATTTATACCTTAGCTGTCATGCCTTTATTATCCTAACTAATTGTTAATGTTATGAGTTAGTTGTTAACCTTATGTTTTGGTTGTTAAGATTATGAGTTTGTTATTAAGATTATGAGTTGGTTGTTAGGGTTATCAGTTAGTTGTTAGGGTTATGAGTTAATTGTTAAGGTTATAAGTTGGTTGTTACGGTTATGAGTTTGTTGTTAAGGTTATGTGTTGGTTATTAAAAATTATGTGTTAGTTATTAAGGTTATGAGTTTGTTGTTAAGGTTATGAGTTGGTTGTTAAGATTATTGTTTTGTTATTAATGTTACAATAGTAAGGGTAATTTTAATGATTACTTGTTATATTTATGCAAGTATGAAACAATGGTTCTAGCAACTAATCC